AGGGCCAGGCAAAATCTGGCCTGATTATCCCTTTGCAAAATGTTCGAATCGGGAAAATGTCACTTGTGAGTGTGTACACGTGCACACACACCCTTTTCCCTGTTCTTGAAGAGCAAAATGGGACCTGAAGGCTGGTTGAGAAGAGCCGTGGGCGTGGCCACTGGGTAGCCCGGATTTCAGGCTTCTGTCTCGTAGAACCCGCTCCTCACTAAAATGTTCACCAGCTGAACATCCGGCTGGTGATTATCACAAGAGAAAGATGTGTGCTCACAAGAGACAAGCCAATTTCGCGACAGACGGGCCCGTGGGGAGGCTGTCAGCAGTTCACTGCAAGGGGCCGGTTCTGGGGAGCATTTGACGAGGTCTGCAGCCCTGCGCGGCCCGGCCCCCCCCCGGGAGGAGGCGAGTGCTACCTTGAGCGAGAGCACGGTGCTCGCCAGGTTGGTCCTCTGGATCTCCGGCACGTTGGTGGTCAGCATCTCGTCGCGGTAGGCGCGCTCTGTGTACAGGCGGTAGCACTTCCCTGGGCCGGTCCTCCCGGCCCGGCCAGCTCGCTGCTTTGCCTGCGCCTGAGGGGCGGGCAGGGGAAGCGACATGTTTGTTAGGCACAGTCAGCGTCACTCCGGCATCAGCTAATGGGGGCCCAGCTCCTGGCAGACATCAGACCTGGGGTGACTTCACTTCCTGGAGGGCCGTTTCCAAGACTACCAATGCTCTTATCTCCTTTCCTACACTCGGCACTTTCAGGAGCGTTCGTGCCAAGCGAGGCAAGAACAGGAGGGAGGAAAGGAAGACAAATCGCGCAGAGACACCCAGAAAAAGGTCGTCAAAACGGCCTCACAGCATGTACACAAGACAGTGTGGGATGAGATGACTACACACCACCCCCAGGACCAAAAATGTAAGCCAACGGTCACCGTGCAAAGGATGTGAGCAGCTGCCAGTACCCAGAGCCCTCAGCCGTCTTCAGAGCGAGTCTGGGGCTGCTCGGGACAGAAGAAATGCTCACCCAGAGCAAAGGAGCAGCACGCCGCCAAACAGAATGTCCACGTGTCCACACAAGACCCCCAACCCGCCCAACAGGCCCACGGGCAGCACCGTGGCACATGGAGAAGAGTGAAGTCGCCACGGCTCGGTTGCACTTGGAGCCACGGATCAACGCTCGTGGAAGCAGCACTCAGGGATCAAGGGTCCTCTGCTGCACAAAGCCTCTCCACAGAGCACTGAAAGGCAAGGGTGCTACTCTGAGGCCTGAGGTGCACCTGACTCCAGCCACGGTGATTTCAGCGACTTCACAAGCATGTGATAGTTGGGCACCGAGTGAGAAGACAGAAGGAAAACGGATGTTTGCGTGGAGGAGCTGGAGAGGAAAGCTGAAAGTACCACGGACTGGCAGAAGGACAAGCAGGTCTGTGCGGGAAGAAGTACAGCCAGAGCGCGCCTTAGAGGCAACCATGACAAGACTTCCTCTTACCTACTTAGGACATGTGTTGTCAGCAGAGAGCAGGCCCTGGAGATGGGCATTGTGCTTGGTGAGGTGCAGGGGCAGCGACAGAGGGCGGCCCTCCGGGAGATGGACGGGCACACAGGCTGCAGCCCGGGGCTCCGCACAGGGACAAAGGTGAGGCTGCGCAGGACCAGCCAGGGCTTTGTTCTGTGAGTGTGGGGTCGCTATGGGTCGGAAGCGACTGGCACCAAACAACATACGTAAAATGTCAGGAGGAAACGACTTGGAAATAAATCCCTTAAAATGGTAATAGAGGCTACCTGATGGTAGGCTTACAAATGAGTTTTATTTCCTTTATACTTTATCAAATATCCATCCTTTCCTGAAGGCGTAACAGTTGAATAATCGGGGAAATTAAAATGATACAAAATTGCATACTTCGAATACAAGAATTACAACGAGGGGAAAACAAACGGAAAAGAAAACACCAAACCGGTATGAAGATTACCGGTAATTCCAAACTTTCCTCCCATTTTGTAAAAATAATGTTACCTCTGTAAGTAGAGGCAGACTGAAAAATGAAAACAACAATAAATAGTTCACCCTTTGTTGCTAGGAAACAGCGAAGCGCCGTCCACAGAGGGCTGCCTTCAAGAGTCAGGGTTTACAGATTGCCTGGCCAGCCAGTTCCACACCCAGGAAGGAAGTCCACAGGAGCCAGGCAGCAATCCAGAACCCGGAAGTTGCCGAAAGGCTCTAACCAAGAACCCACAGCTTTCCAGAGCTCTCTCCAAGTCAGGGCCGGCTGTGTCCCTGTGAAAGCTCTGACCAGTGGGACAGCGCGCACATCTCTGTGTGACCTAACACAAGTCATCGAACCCCTCAGTGCAATGAGGTCAGGAATGACCTCGTGAGCGCATGCACACGTGCCCAGGACAGGGCCTGGCACTTCATAAGCACCACCTGGTCACGATTACGACCCGTTACAGAAGGAGGAGCTTCATTCTTTCTTCACATCAGACTGTGGTAACGGCTGTTGTAAAGAGGTTAATACAGTATATGAATGTGTAGAGGAAGTGCCCATCAGCCAGGACCCCAGTAGCCAACACCAGCACACAGAGAAGCTGGGTTGCTGATTAGACCCCAGCCTGTCAGTTTTGCACACACCATTCACACATTCTGAGCACAAATGTACAACCTAGTTTTACACAAAAATTGTAGCCGATCACTCATGCTATTTTGCAGCTTGTTTTTTTCAAACATGATATATCGGAGTTCTTGCTGCTAGGTGGGACCGGACCGCTCCAGTTCACTAGGACACAATTCACTGTGCACCAAAGAATGACGTTCACACAGCCTCTCTGCACCTCCGTCACAATCATGCGTAGGCTTGTCCGCGGTGGGAGCCTGTGTCAGCCAATTTACTGAGGCTCTTGTCCTTCCTCTGCCGATTTTCGACTGGACCAAGCATGGTCCTCTCCAGCGACTGGTCTCTCTTGACACACGTCCAGGGCACATGCGATGATGCTCACCGGCCTTGCTTCTAAAGAGCATCTGGCTGTACTTCTCCCGAGACAAGATGTGTTTGCTCTTGTGGGAGTTCACGGTACTGTCACTATTCTTCAGTTCGAAGGCATTCATTCTTCTCTGGTCTTCCTTCTCACTGTACGGCCGTGGCATGGCTTTGAGACAACTGAAAATACCATGGCTGGGGTCAGGCACACCTTAGTCCTCAAGGGACACCTCTGCTCTTCCTTGAACACTTTAAATCAGCCTTGTGCAGATCTGCCCAATGCGCCCCATCGTTGGACTGCGGCTTCCAGGAGTGTGGACGGTGTGCTAGAGCCAAATGAAATCTCCGATAAGGCCCATCATTTCTCCGCCAGCGTGCTGTCCACTGGTCAGCTGTGGCCCAGCAGACTGTGTTTGACTGAACGACTTCCCTTTAAGGAGCCCTGGAAGCACCGCAGTCAAAGCACTCGGCTGCTAATGGAAAGGTTGGCACCGGTCGTTCCCTGAAAGATGAGCTGTCTGCTCTGCTTCCATAAAGATTTACAACCTTACAAACCCACAGGGCGCTTCCACTCTGTCCTGTAGGGTCAGTGTGAGTCAGGCTCAACCCAACAGCTGTGCGTTTCATTTGGTTCGGGTGTTAGATTTTGTTCCCCCTAACATACACAACGCTACCACAAACACCTTGTGCGTGGCCTTTGGCTATGTGTTCCACCTTTCCGGAATCTCGGAAATGTCCCTAGCAAAGCGACTGTTAGGTTCAAGAGGGGGGACTTTGAAACTTTCCATACACTGTTGTCAACCCGTCCTCAAAGAGGAGGATGCGGTCATTCCTCTTCAGATACAATGTAACCAGGAACATATTCCAGAATGTCTGAAAAAACAAATAACTGTTTCATGAAGTATTGTTTCAGATAACTGTGGCTAACCACTTTAAAAAACTGTGCTCGAACCACATAAATCCGAGAATCTAGAGTGTTGGGGATTCCATTTTATCGTTTTTAATTCAAGCTGCACCGAGTTGCTAAATGCTGAAACAGTGCTCTAAAGATTAAAGGCCATCTCTGGACGGCGAATGTGGCAACTGCTTCACGGGAACCTAGTTACTGTGTACGTTTCTACCAAGAACAAAGACAAAAGCAACACAAAACTTGCCCTTTTTTCACCCCAGCGTCCGGTATCCTAAAAGTTCATCTTTGAAGACCATACAGTTCAAAGTACAGAACCCCCGAAAAGCCAGAAGGGCTCCCCCCAGGGCTTCCAGGACTGACATTCACCCCCGTACCTGAGAAATAGGCGTCACCACAAGCTGGTCGATCCCCGTCTTGGAATTATAGACTTTCTGCTTCACGAATCCGGGGTCCACCACGTAGTAGATGCCGTCAATAGTCAGCGATGTCTCTGCGATGTTGGTGGCTATCACGACCTGCAGGGGCGGGGGCACAGCCCTCAGGCGCAAGACACAGGCCTTTTGTACCCAGGCAGCTTCCCAAAGGGAGGCAAGCCCCTGCCCCGAGGGCCAGGCTGCGGGCAGGAAGCGCAGTGCCTGAGAGCAGGCGTTGTCTAGGATAAGCGCTAAGGCCAATCAGAGTCAATTTCATTTCGTGCAAATGGCTATGTGTCTCACTTTCGAGACCCACCATTCAGAGGACTACTACAGTTTTAATTTCCCAGCGCCCTGGGAAAGTAGGGTTTCCTGGCATCACATGTGCCACTACAAAATGAGATTTCCTTCCCACACTGGGACATCTGGACTGCAAGCAGGCTGTTCGTGGATGTGGAACGAGAGCGGGAGGTTTTGTGTTTCCCCGGATCATAAAATGAGCCACGAGACGGCAGAGGGGTTTCATGGTTTGCGCGAGAGCAGCGGTATATGTGATCTAGAAGATTAGGAGTCTCAGCTTGGCACTGCCACGCTTCTTCCACCCAGAGGTTCAGCCAATAAAACACAATTGCTTGGAAAAATCATTGCGAGGAGCCATCAGAACATCTTACGTCATGCCAGAACCTTCCCGGCCCGAAAGGCTTAGCCCTGCTTCAGCACTGCAAACACCGTAACCATCAGGAACAGATGAGAGGAGATGCACTGCCTTTACCCCAAACCTGCTCCGCCACCCCCACTTCCCTGCTCACCTCTGTCTTCCACCCAGGGGGGCCAAGCCAGAAAGCTGGGAGTCAGTGAGGACTGCCCTCTGCCCTCCACCCATCCTGTCCACTCTAAACGCTTTCCAAGCCAGCTGTCTTCCACGCCCAGGTAAATGCCCCGAGAAAGAAAAACCCATGGCCACGTGGGAACTTGTGCACAAATGTTCACAGCAGCGTGAGTTACGCAGCCAGTGGGGAGAAACAACCCCATGTCGATCAACTGCTGAACGGGTATGCCAGAGCGGGCCCAGCACAAAGACACGCACTTGGCAACAGAAAGCACATGCCACAACACGGGTGAAACTGGAAAACACGTCTAGCCAAAGAAGCCAGTCATGGCCTCCAGAGTTTCCAACTCCACTTACATGCATGTCCGGAGTAGGGAATCCAGGGAGACAGAAAGGGGACTGGTGGCTTCCAGGGACTGAGCAGAGGGGAGACGGGGCAACTGCCTAAGAATAAAGGCTTCTTTCTGCGCTAAGGAAAATGTCCTGAAATTGACTATGGTTTGTGGACTTGCCCCAAACCACTGAACGATATCCTTAAAAAAGGGTGACTCTCGTTTATTTTTTAATTTTTTGTGACTCATTTTAAAAGAGAACACACACACACACACACACACAGAGGCTTCAAAAAGTTCGTGGAAACATTCCATCATTTTTATTTACATTTTTCCGTGAATTTTTTGGAGATCCTCTGTATACCATATGCGAATTATAACCTAATGGGGGAAACAATCCATGTGTTTCCTGCCCTCTTGTCTGAAGCACCTCCTTATAAACTCAGCTCTAGCCACTAGAACACTCTAGCTCCTCCGCTGGCCACAGACCATCCATCACACTGCGCCTCTGGTCACACACCCTCCTGCTTTCCTTGACCACCTGACTTCAGGGACGAGCGTGGGTCCTTATTTCCTCACAAGCTGCGACCCAGGGGACCAGCAGCACGTTCACTCTCCGGTTAAAGGCCTGTCTACTGGTGTGTGCCCCACCTGCCCTCACACTGCAGCTCTGGGGCACAGCCCCAAGCAGGAGCGATGCTCAAACTCCATGCTGCATGAGGGAGGGGTCCCACAGAAGATGCCCTCATCTCTGGACCCACCCACAACTCGAGCCTGCCCCTTCGGCCAGAGGGTCTCAGCCTTCCTCCTGCCGCCGCCCTTCCAGACAGTCCTCATGTTCCGGTGACCCCCACCATCACATCATTTTCGTGGCTACTTCATCACTGTCATTCTGCTACTTGATGACTCAGGTGACCCCTGTGAAAGGGCCGTTCAAGCCCCAAAGGGGTCACGACCCACAGGTTGAGAACCTCTGCCTTGAGCTATCCCCATCTGGCCACCTGCATACCCCAGCTGCTTTCAGAGCATGAGGGGTTTCTTTGCAGCCCCATGTTACCTTTCTGCTGCCAGGTGGAGCAGGGTCAAAGATTCGGGTCTGCATCTCACTGGGAAGGGCGGAGTACACCGGGAGGATAATCAACTCTGGGACGTCCGGTCCCAGGGACTTCATTCTCTCATACAGGATCTCACAAGCAGTGTCGATCTCCTCCTGACCCGTAAGGAAGACCAAGATGTCACCTGTAGACAAAACAGAGGTGTTCGGCATTTACCCTCTGACTGTGTGTCTTTGTCTGTGTGTGAGAGAGAGAGAGAGAGAGAGGTGTGCTCTGTACAAAGACTACAGTGAAATCAACAGAACTCCAAATAATAGTGAATGCATGTACCAGACTGAATTGCATCCCCCTAAATATGTTAACTTGTATTGTGTGGCTGTTCTACCTTCTGTGATCTGATATAATTATCTTCCATTTTGTGATGTGTGTAAACCCTAACCTCTATATCCCTGGGGGTATATCTAGAGCCACCACCTCCCCTCCCCTGAGGCACCCTTTTATCTTGCACGAGAGGAAAGGCGTGAGAAACAAGCAGAGAGGGGAGGGACCTAACCCCCGCCAAGAAAGGAAAGCAGGAAGCAAAGGCAGCTCTTTGGACCTGGGATGGCACGCAGAAATCACGCCGGAGCTGAAGCTCAGGGCAGGCAAGGATCTTCCTCCCAAGCCAGCAAAGGTAGAGCCTTCCCCTAGAGCTGCCGGCCTGAATTCAGGATTCTAGACTCCTACACTGTGAGAGGATGAACCGCTGTTTGTTAAAGCCGCCATTTCTGTTCCAGCAGCCCTGGATCCCAAAGACAACATGCATTTCCACCACTAGGCCAAGGCGGCTTTAAAATCTGCCCATGTTTCAATAGACGCAGTTGACCTCGCACACCTTAGCATTCAATTTCTTATTGTGGTGGAAGTGTTCATCTGTTTATTGCCATCATTTCAGCATGGAAGCTAAGACAGAGCACGAGGGAAAGGGTGTTCAAAGGATTCGTAATAGAGATGCCCACACCGTCCCTTCGGCCTAAAAGAAACGAGTGCTCTTCGGCCTCACCTGGCGGCTCTGTCAAGTGGATCTGCATGACAGTGATTAAGCTGGCATCCAGATAATCGGTCTCCGGCTCCTTCGTGTACAGAATTTCCACTGGGTAGGTTCGACCTGGGATGGTGAAAATGGGTGCTTCATAGAAGTACTGGGAAAACTTCACTGCGTCCAAGGTAGCGGAAGTGACGATCAGCTTCATGTCTTGCCGCTTCTGAACCGTCTAGAGGCAAACACGAGCAGGTGGCTGTGAAGGACTCCCCTACCCAAAGGTTCTACACAGGCTCCCAGACCCAACTCCCGGGCTTCCGTTTCCAACAGGCTAACCATCACCACCAGGCAGTCCATCCCCACTCACGGTCCCCTAAGAACTGCTCCCCCCCCCAGCACCTTTTTCAGCAGTCCAAAGAGCACATCGGTGTGAATGGTCCTCTCGTGGGCCTCGTCCAGCATGATGACCGCGTACTGGGTGAGGTCGGGGTCGATCAGGCACTCTCGGAGCAGCATGCCGTCAGTCATGTACTTGATGACCGTCTCGGGGCTGGTGCAGTCCTCAAACCGGATGGTGTAGCCCACCTGCGGCAGAGCAGCGGGACATGCGAGACACCCAGACAAGGCGACTGCCCACCAGCCTCACAGATGGGAAGGCGGGGGGCAGGGACGGCCTGGCAGGGAAGTCTGGCGTACACGGCCCTGAGCAGCCCGCAGAGAGCAATGACGTCACCTGTCGAGGGTCATCAAGGACACCAGGCGCGGGAACCTTTACGCTTCCCTCTGGCACATCTACAGCAATGTCACTCGCAACTTACCTCTTGGCCTAAACAACAACCAAACTCCTCCGACACTCGCTTGGCCACTGACATCGCCGCCACTCTGCGGGGCTGGGTGCAGCCAATCTTGCCCCGGGACGTGTAGCCCGCCTCCGCCAGGTACTGGGTGATCTGCGTGGTCTTCCCAGACCCCGTCTCGCCAATGACAATCAGGATCTGATTGTCATGGACAGCCTGAAGACCACAGAACATAAAGGGTCATGAAAATCGGTTACACATTACTGCAGCACAGTGAGTCACGTTTCCGTTCTAGACACAATGGCTATGTGTGGCTAAGATTACATCCAGAGTTTAAATTATTTTTAGTGATCCTTAGACAAGAACTCTGGGGAAGGAGATGTTGACATTTTTCTATGAGCCAATGGGACTTCAAATCACCTTCCTGTTCTATTTTCTTTAATTGCATACATTAAAATAATTTTAAAGCTTTATTGGCATTTCTTTTTTAAAGAACTTTTATTGGTGTTCTTAAATTCATAGAAACAGACCCCAACAGCGTAACCATCACCCGGTATACATGGCAGTGTGTGTGTGGTTCATGTTACCCCGTGCACGTGGCTAAAGAACTCAGGAGCACATGAAGCCTTCGCTCCCCAGTCCCAGTCCCAGTCCCAGTCCCTCGCTTCCAAAGACCAGCTCGTTCATTCCCAATTACACAGGCTGGTGCTGTAGATAACAGTAAATGACTGTTATTTTTAAAACCCCCACTCTCTGCCATCGAGCCAACTGTAATCGCAGCGACCCTACAGGACAGGGCAGAACTGACCCTGGGGGTTTCCCAAAAGGCAACTCTTGATGGGCGAGCAAAGCCACATCTTTCTCCC